GTCACCTGGTCACCGTGCCTGCAGGGTACAACTACTTACTAGCCTGTTTGACCTTTTTTGGGTGCAGTCCTGTCACTCGAGTTGAACTCGAGTTGAACCTTGGTGTGAAAGTTGTCACCTGCTGGCGTGGTGACCAGGTGATTTGGGCACCCAGGAGCACGTGACCACTTGTTCAACCATGTTCGATTGGGAATAAAGGAGGAACGCTGCATCGCAGCCTTTTCGGACCAAAACCAGTCGACTCAGCGTCCAAAAGACTACAACATATGGGCCAATCGCGGTCATCCATGCTTTTATAAGAACGAAAAGGCGCTTTTAGTGACATTTTGCATACAAATCCCCATCTAGTAGGGCGCAGTCACCCAGTTTCGGTGGAAGTGCGCGAGTTCGATTGGGATTCAAGTAGGAAGGGAGCGTCTCAGCTTCCTCGGACCAAGACCATTCGACTCAGCACCCCGAAGACTACAACTGGTGAAATTTTGATTTTTGCCTTAACTTCCCCTTTAAAGGGGAACTCCGGTCCAAAATCACCCCCATTTTTTATTGCGGAATCCATTAGAGTATGTCGTAAGTGGTAGAATGGCGAAAACCGGAAGCTTCTACGACAAGGATAACATACCTAAATTACCAATTGCAATTTTCCATATTTGGCACGAGGGGCCCCCGCCCACCCTGTGACGTAAAACGTTCTCAGCCCGGTCCACTCAGATGAAATTTTCAAAGAAGCAAGAATGAAAAGTCCTTGGCCATTGTTGAAGTGCTTGTTGTTCTGTACCATGCCCGATTTATTGTCACGACTCGCTGCTGCGTCTCTGGATGCAACAATGTCACGAAGAAAGAGGCGCCTGCGGGCTGTCGTAGCATGGCTTTCAGGCTCTGGCTGACGCGAACCTGACGACAGCTTGGCTATGGAGAGTATGTTGGAAGGATTTTTCTCCGACGAAAAATAATCGTGTCTGCACTGAGCATTTTACTGAGATGTGCTATGAAAGAGATTTCCAACAAGAGTTTGCACAAAGCAATGGTGGCTATAAGCAGAAGCAGCATCGACGCTTGAAGCCAGGGTCTCTGCCATCCTGAAACTTGGCGGTGCATGTCATACTAATAGTTAGTAGCTCCTCTACCTCTGCTGCCAGCAAAAGCAGACCATCTTCGATTTACTTCCAGGAACGTGAGCACGATGAGGTAAGTGAACGGCATGATTTTGTGCCGTCCAGAACGTAGCTCTAAACGACTACAGTCCTACTCAAAGTCCTCTACTCAAAATCCTAGTCAGTGAAGTCGAGAATTGATGTAATGTACATGGAACGTTATCATGTGTGTTATTTCGGTTCTCTTTATCTGTAAGTTTCCATTGCGTTACTTTCCGGTTGCAGCTACACTGCCACAAATACAAGGTACAGTATGATTTGTAGTCTGGAAATTTTCCATGCTGTCATACTGAAGTGGGCACCAAAACGTGTCCACTTTTCGTACAATGGCATGAGAGCACGGGTACAGTCGGCATGTCTGTCCCACAATGCCAATATAGGGAGAGCGCACGCCAAAACCAAGGAGGGTGTGCTCAGGTACAGGCTGGAATACACCAAGAGCACAAAGTGGCCAAGAAGCTGCACGACAATGTCCTGCAACTTCTTGAAGGACCTGTTGAACGATGTGCATACAACCATTCTCGGCATTCGCAACGGCACCGGCACAACCCCATGCTCCCGAACACAGTACAGTCTTGTGCCATTGTATCTGTCAACTTTACCAGATTGTTCATGCAGCTGCATTGGTGCAAAGCATGCGCCCACCCGAAAACACAAATATTGCCCGAGTCAAGAATACCGTACTGGCAATATATGTTGCCGCGTAACGCGTAACGCAGGGGGGTGCGGCGTAACGCGCGACCAGGCTAGTGCGACAAATTTTCGTTGAGTTCGTAACGCGCGTCCGGCGGGGTGCGGCGATCTTTTCATTGCAAAAAAGGCTGAAAACTGTGAAAGCACGTGTACCGCGTGGTGAAAAGTTCAAAACTGGACGCAGCAGGAAGTCCTGCAATAGCAAAAAAAGGACTGCGGCAATATAGAAACCTGTGTAACGGCTCCTGTGCGACTTTGCATGTAACGCCCTGCGTGCGGCAAACATGTGCCAATGTAACGCTTCATGGCCTCACTGCGGCAACATAATGCCAGTACGGTAGTTATAAATCGTGTCTGTCAACTGTTTTCTACATTCTGCATGCACATGTACCAATGATTATGTGAACGTCAACCAGGCCAAGAAGCATTATCATCATCATCATCATCATCATGTCCAACTGCTTCCTCAAAGCCCCAGTGCGCATCTGCATTGGCTTCTGGTACAGCTGCTTTATCTCCGATACCACGCAAGACGGTATCACACGCCGCTGCTTGCGTCCAAAGTATCCATGGGTGAACCATGTGTATTGTCTATACGCCACATGTCTCCAAATCCTGCACAAAACAGTTGGAGAGATGTAGATACACATACCACGAGTGTCTTCATGATTGTGTAAAAGTAAATAGTTTCAGTGTAAATAGTTTCGGATTCGAATTAATATTTCTATGGGCTACTATACAAACACTTTGGCCTTTTTTCAAATTTACATCACTTTTACACACAGTTGAAACACTTACAGTGCTAGGAATAGTATGAGTGAAAGACATCGTTGTACCAGTATAATTATATTGGCATGGGTGCAATAGAACTTCATGATTGTGTGATGGAAGTTGGTGAATTTGAATACTGTACACAAAATCATTGCACAACACTTCCCATCCACTTTGTACCGGTACATGAAACATGGAAAGAAAGGAAATAATGAAACCGATTCAGTGAATCCTCAACTGTTTGACCACGGTCCACACCTTGCCCGAAATTCTTCGAAGGAAAGCAATGCCACCTCGAGCACTGATTTTTGCAGGCAAACAACAGCAAACTCTGAGTGCTGCGTGACGCACTGCAGCCCTTCCTGCTCGCCGCGTTTACTGAAAGCTGCAGGAACCTCCCAGCAACAAGTCGACTCGACCTCGCTCCACATCATGCTGCATTGTCCGCAACGGCATCAAGCAGTGCTTCTCACGCGAGCACTTGCAACCAAAGCGTTCTCTTCACGTTCATCCGAGAGTTTTGTAGTCTCAGAAATATTACTTGTAGACAGTTTCGCAGAGGCTGATGCGCGATCGGCTCGAACCTAAAAGGCCTCGGTGTTGTTGAATCTGAAGTGGCGTCCACCTCCACACCTCCCGTGGTCTCCTCTTCCTCCAACATGATGATCGAATGAATACTAGTACAAGGGTTATTGATTGAAGAAAAAACAGTGAATACCTTTTTCAAAATTTCTGCAGGTTGCAAATTTCTGCATTTGAATAAAAAAATTTGGAGGTCACTGAGAACGTTTTACGTCACAGGGTGGTTGGGGGCCCCCTCGTGCCAAATATGGAAAATTGCAATTGGTAATTTAGGTATGTTATCCTTGTCGTAGAAGCTTCCGGTTTTCGCCATTCTACCACTTACGACATACTCTAATGGATTCCGCAATAAAAAATGGGGGTGATTTTGGACTGGAGTTCCCCTTTAAAGGGGCACTCCGGCTTCATTTTCGACGCCGAGTTTTCGATGCCAAGACGAAGGTAGGTGAAAGAGAAGACCCCTCGAACAAGAACGAGTCTCCAGAAGCGATCGAGTCGAGCAGGAAGACGACTTTTTGAATTTCGCCGAGCGAGCGCTGATGACGTAATGAGGGATTAGCTTGCCAGTGGAAATGCATCTGCGCACATACATTTCACATACTTTTTGGCCAATTTTCAATCGAAGAGGAGGTTGTTTTCTATGTTCTCTCAACGTCGTGAGCGATCCCGTCTTCTATACCCTTTCAGGTACCCTGAAGGTCCTCCAGAGGAGAATTTATCTCCAGCGAAGCGTTGTTGATCCGCTAAATTCGTCTCGAGACATATTCACCCAGTGCAGTGCTGATAAATGTAGAATGTTGAATCTGTGATAATTGTCTACGATGGAGAGAGAGGTTGATAGCCGCTGTCGCAGGGAAAGTGAAGCTGCTGGAAGTAACAACGGGGAGCTTGTTAGCATCACATGTGCATCCAGACTTCAAAGCAGCTTGACGGAATCGGGGAGTACTGACTATTTGTCTCGCCCTCAGTTTAGTGAATTTTATGACCAGAAAATTATTCGATCAGGATCCCTTCTAGAAGATGTGTAGTACAGGTGATTTCTGAACTTGACGATATGGACACCGACCAGTAGACCTACCAACAACGTGTACCTGCAGGAAATTCACCCAAGGCTATTGCTATCCTCTTCAGTGGCTGTTGTTTTTTAGTAAAAATATGTTCACTTCTCTCAACATACTCCTGCATGGCAGCAAGAAGGTGCGCTATGGAATTCAACGCCACAATCTTCGCCCAGCTGTGGATGAAGCATGGTCAAGTCATGGCAGTACATATACTTGAAACAGATGAGAAATTGAAGTTCATTTGTGATGGGAAGTTTGACAGCCCCAGTGACCGAGTCAAGCAATGTCTTTTGCCGTGGCACAAATTGCTGAAGAATCCGAGATGGTCTTGGAACTATGCACATGGACAGATACTACCAGAAATAATGGTGGCATGAACCATTGTGGAATGGGACAGCTCACGGAGAATACTGGAATAGCTCAAGTATCTCTAAGTGATTGTAAATCCTGTTCTGGCTGATAGCTTCAGCCTGCTGCGCCCGTCAATGTACAATGATGGGAACATGCATTTCTGTTTTCTACATATTTGCCGGCTACTGTACTGTGGTATTACAGTGGCAGGTCCCTTATATAAAAAATATGTTCAACCCCCTCCCACATACCCACATTATAAAAATGAACTAACAATTTCACTGTTGGACTCGCAGGCGGCTAGAGAGCAAAGGATTAATTTATAGCAAAGAAAAGGACCAGGGAACTACACGTAAATTAGTTACGCTATAATGTCCACGAACAATTTAACTGTATTTGAAATAATTTTGTTTGATACCCTGAGAACTCTGAAACTTCGGAGCACTGTGGATTATATGTGGATACAACATTTATGGAAGGAAAAGTGGAATAATTTCTAACACATTGTTCAAATAATTATAGCACTGAATTGTTGAAATTGTGAGCACATTCCAATCAGCACTCTACATATGTATAAGCGGTGGAAATCGTTAGGAATAGGTCGTGAGTTGTCAGAGTGCTCCAGTATATGAGAGAATGTTTTGTTTGTCTAATCGACGGCTCGTTTGAAGCCAGAGTTGTTTGACTTGTTTCGGTCGACTTGATTCTAGATAGTAGTCGAAGGAGTACTATGAAGTACACACCACACGTTGTCCGTAAGGTATCTCGTGAGAATTCTGTCGGTACACATCAGGTATCAGCTTGGAAAGATGGATCCTCTCTGTTTCTTGAAAGCCTGTCTAGTTGGACTGTGGCTCCAGCGATTCCCTTCTCAGAGCAGATACCATACCCAATACTGTCAATGCATATTGGACAGACCTGTATGCACAACAGAAATAGTGGAGAGAAATCTCTCAGCTCATGAACACGTCAGTGAAGTTTGAACTGCCGCTGTTTGTGGCCATTAGTATAAACCTATCGACTATAAGAATAATGTGCAAACAAACTTCTATAACCACAGCTGGGGGCCATGGAATTATAAACTTAGGGAACTGCCAATTCTGGTCTGAGTTGCGTTCGAGGCCTGCAATTCATGATGGCTATCGTATGTTGCATTGACCAGAGATCATATTATAAAACTTCCATGCCACATTGAAACATGCACCACTTTCGAGTACTTAGGTATCCCCCACCAAATGGGCATTCGTTCTCGGGGTGGCAGGCGTCACTATTCGTTATGCCTGGATCAGATTTCATTGACCCCAACTGTCATGAAGAATCATTTTTACTTTGACTGGATTTCAGTACAAGTTGTAGAACTGCAGAATCAATTTCGTTGTATTTGGGCAACCATTTGAATTTCACTACAAACGCTCTATTGGGAAAATAGAATTTTTTTATAAAATGCATGTCCAAATTCCACATCCACCCAAATCGGAATACTTGATCACGTATTCAGTACTACACGGAATGTTTAGAAAACGCCGGGGAATAGGAATTTGCTAACGAGAACTCCAGGCCAGGGTACTAGCATACGAACAAAACAAGATAAAAACTCACCAGTGTACTTGTAGTAATTCATGTCGGTGTAATATTCACGATAAGCACCGAGGCACCCTCCGATTTGGTCAAGCTGCTTTGAAGTCTGGTTGTTCAGGTGATACAAACGGGCTTCCCGTTGTTACTTCCAGCAGCTTCACTCTCCCTGCGACAGCGGCTATCAGCCTCTCTCTCCATCGTCAACAATTATCACAGATTCAACATTCTACATTAATTTTATCAGCACTGCACTGGGTGAATATGTCTCGAGACGAATTTAGCGGATCAACAACGCTTCGCTGGAGATAAATTCTCCTCTGGAGGACCTTCAGGGTACCTGGAAGGGTATAGAAGACGGGATCGCTCACGACGTCGAGAGAACATAGAAAACAACCTCCTCTTCGATTGAAAATTGGCCAAAAAGTATGTGAAATGTATGTGCGCAGATGCATTTCCACTGGCAAGCTAATCCCTCATTACGTCATCAGCGCTCGCTCGGCGAAATTCAAAAAGTCGTCTTCCTGCTCGACTCGATCGCTTCTGGAGACTCGTTCTTGTTCGAGGGGTCTTCTCTTTCACCTACCTTCGTCTTGGCATCGAAAACTCGGCGTCGAAAATGAAGCCGGAGTGCCCCTTTAACGCGTTCCCTGGCAGCGTTCCCCGGCAGCGCGAGTCAAAGATGTTTTCTGGGAATGTGTGCCGTGTCCTCTCCCGGGCTTTTACGACTCCCTGCTCTCCATCATCGGCCTGTTACTGTACTGAGTCTGTTACAGCCCCCGCCCCTCGGGGAAGCCGAAAGTCACTACTCTACGATCATTATAGAAATTGGTAAACTCGCCAAGCTTTCAAGTGCACCTTTCTGTACCATACAGTTTTTTGCGAGGATGTTTTCTCATCTGACGGCTCGAATCGTACTAAAAGCCGAGCAGGACTTCTGCATGCAGCAGCTGCAGTGCCGGGTTCTACAGTACAGGCACTAGTTACACTGCATGTCTTCCGCTCCACCCCACTACACTCTACACTAGTCACCGCGCGGTCACTACAGAGTACAGTCTGTACGCGAGACAGACCTTCACTCGGGCTTCAGTCTCAGGCCAGCTGGCTTGTAGTAATAGTTGTAGCCTTGTCGGGTGCTGTATCATGTATGCGCTAGCTGTCACCAGGTCACACACACAGCGGGGTGGCCACACTGCTGATAATGAGATTGAGAGAGAGGGCACAAGCCTCGTGTCGTGATACGTCCTACCACAACACATAACAGTACCAGTGGAATTATCCGCTCACAATGTCGCGGCCCAAGCCGAGCCAAGTGCGATCGGTTTCTCCCCTCGCTGGCGGACTGGTGGTGATGCAGGCCGACAAGCGCTCCTCGTCGTCGCTACCGCGCAACGCTCGCCTGCAGCCCGGTCCGCTCGCCAAGCAGAAAACCGCTCCGTCGTTGTGCGCCAACACGCTACAGGTGCCGACAGGTGGCATTGCTGGTAACATGGCAAGCGACGCGAACATGTCGAGCGACGCGAAGCGACTGACGACTCGCATTCTACCGACAGACGACTCTGCCATGGTCCAGCGGAAAAAGAAGGCGCAGAAGCGAATCGATCGGAAGCGGAAACAGCGGAAGCGGCTACTGGAGAAGAGGCACCGGTCGGAGCGTCCGGAGCCGGTCGATCCGCCTCCTGTCCAGTTCGACAACTTTACGGAAGAGGAGATAGCCATCATCAGCAACGTGCTGGAGCGGGAGGTGACGTTCGCTAGGGAGATGTTCGCTGTTGAGCAGTGAGTGACCGAAATTTTGTATGGATTCTCCACAGGGCGTATCCGAAATAATTATCATGCAAGTACTGTATTCAATCTGCGGACAGCATGCTGTTTCGTTCTTTGTGAACTCATCAGCGCAGCGCAGAGAAAACGTGGCCGAACGTGATAGCAATGAAAGAAAAAGAAAAGACCGTACCTAGCCAGAGTGCTCAAACTCACAAAAGTCAGTGAGCTCTGTGTAACACGAACAGCAAAGGCGGGACTACCCACATGGAAGTGCACAACTGCTGTCAAGAGTGGGAACGAAATACTCAATACTCAATACTCAATACTCTACGAAGTAGTGGTTGCGACTTCGGCGATGATTTGTAAGAAAGGGTCCGCTCCCCACACCGGAGCTCGCGCTATTCCGCCGACGTTACTAACACTTGACTGACTCACGACTGCCAATACTCTAGTACTAGCAAATGCAGTAAAACTGTAAAAAAAGATTGAAGTTTGCACGTCCGCGTTACAGCTGGCTATACAATTGCGTGTTCGCTCCTACCAGGCCACCACCATGCCTGTAATACCAGGGTGGCAGATGCAGCGCCTAACCCCCCCCCCCCCCCCCCCCCCCCAGGGTGAGCTGGTAACCAATGCCCAACAAGGAGGCAAACCTCGTTAGCTGCATCCATGTTACCCTCACTCCCAGTACTGAGTACCCAGTGGACCGTGGGTGTCGGCCAGCGTCGGACACCAGTCGGGGGAGATGTCTTTTCTAGGACATCGCACTCTGAATGAGTCTGATTGGTTACCTGTCCCAGAGTTGTCATGGAAGCGTCGGTCGCGCACACGCGATGAAAAGAAGTGCTGCGTGAGCATTTCTGAATGTATGTGGAGGATGCACGATCGTAATGGCGATGGATTTCTTTCCGAATTGGTCAAGTTTGAAGGAATAGGCGGAGAATATCAGACATCGGCGGGGATTGAGGTAGTGTATATTCGATTCGCCATCGAATACCCGACCGAATGGCCGTTTTCGTTTGGGGATTTCATGTGGGGGTTCTCGTAGCCACGCAGCGCTTCTTTGGAAACGATTGGTTCTAATGTTGAATGTTTTGCCTTTGGAATGCTTCTTCACGCCCCGTGCGTTCATTTCGCCGGGCCCCAAACCTGGCCATGCAGAGGAGGAAGACGAGGCAGCAGGCGCTAGACCCGTAAATTACTGCCTGGAAGATATTATTTGGCCAAAGCTTGCTGTTGGCGTTTTTGATTTCTTGGATACGACAGTTCTTGGCTAAAACTGGACCTTGGACGGTCTTTCTTGGATATCAACCCAGGACGTGGTGGTCATGGACGTATCGCCATTGCTTTCAGCCAGATCCTTCTGCTGCCTGAAACCAATGGCGAAAGTAAAAACTTTATCGCAGCAGCAGCTACTGCTCTGCTGAAAGTGCGAACACAAATTGCTTCGCCAATCCTCTTGTGCACTTGCAATTTTCAATGCGACCAAAACGATTCGCTTGCCAGTTCCTTTGTCCAGGCGTACTCCACAACGAGGAAAATAAAATTCGTGAAGGCAAGAGGCAAGATACGAATCTCGACTCGCTTGACGCAAGCCTCCAGGAGAACGACAACTTATTACTTTCAAGACTAAAAGGGCCTTCATTGCGTTTGTTTTGAGTGCGACATGTTCATCTTCCTCGGCCGCGACACAAAGTTTTGAGTCACGTGTCACGATTACTATGGGAACAGCATAGTATGTATGCTGGGTTCCGTGATGTCCTATCTAGGACATCTCCAGGACTGGACACGCTGCGGTCACTACGGTATTGACCGTACCACTTTTCTCCCCAGATACCCCAGGTACCCCAGATACCCCAGGTACCCCGTGAACCAATAACATACACCGTCATCTGGGCTCTAAATTTCCAAAATGTTCGGCTCAGCCACCCCTCCTCCCACACGAGTAAATTGTACTTCAGATGGCTGACCGTACCACACTAAAAACCTTCCGATGCCCGGGCCTGGTGTCGGCGCAGTTCCTTGCATGGATAGTGGTTCACGCATGCATCACCGCATTTGTTAGCACAGTACACGCTCCCTGCTCCCAGCGCCGGTCTCGAACTCGGGACCTTGTGATTCGCAGGCAAGCCTACAACCGCCGCTCGGCCACAGCACTGGTACGCGTACAACTGTAAAAGTAAAGCAAATTTGCGCTTCCCTTAACCTGCTGTGCATGGTCAACAACAAAACCAGCTTTGCAGGAGGTGTTGCTTCTACAACCAGGTGCAAGTGCAACAGTATGGACAGTATGGATGGATAGTTGCTTATCTTCATACACTCTGCAGTCCCTACTGCAAGCACACACACAGTTCATCTAGCACTGTGACCATGAGAGTGTGTTGTGATGCTGAGCCCATTCTTCAGTGGTGCTCTTGGATTTCGAAAAACTTAAGCTGTGTTCCCAACTGGCGCGTGGACGCGGTACGCTTGCGGTTCATGCGTGCCCAAACGCGCGCTCAAGCTTTCACAAAAAAACAGCAATCCGAGTCGTAGTTAGCGCGTGCGACACCTTCGAGTACTATTTTGTTGACCCTGCCAGTCAAAGTGACTGGCATGTACGCTGGTATGCGCCTGATACGCGCTGAAAATTCCAACATGTTGGAATTTCCATTTCGGCGCGTTTCCGTACGCATGGCGCCCCAAAAGCCAGCAAAAATACGCACAAATGCGTGGTTTCACGCGTACATGCGCCAGTTGTGAACACAGCTTTACTTGCACACATCCATTGTAATGCCGAGCGCCGAGGAATGAACAGGCTAACATTTCACCAAGTACTGTGCTGCTGAATGAAATCCAGTCGCGTCACCTCAGTATGCACTGGGTGTTGCATAGCCCCAGACCTGTGAACACTGGACGTTGCATAGCCCCAGACCTGTGAACACTGGACGTTGCATAGCCCCAGACCTGTGAACACTGGACGTTGCATAGCCCCAGACCTGTGAATACTGGACGTTGCATAGCCCCAGACCTGTGAACACTGGACATTGCATAGCCCCAGACCTGTGAACACTGGGTGTTGCATAGCCCCAGACCTGTGAACACTGGGTGTTGCATAGCCCCAGACTTGTGAACACTGGACGTTGCAACCCCCAGACCTGTGAACACTGGACATTGCATGGCCCCAGACCTGTGAACACTGGACGTTGCATAGCCCCAGACCTGTGAACACTGGACGTTGCATAGCCCCAGACCTGTAAACACCGGACTATGAAAAGGTGCAAGGCGCAAGCTTGAGTGACGTCATTGGTTTTCATTGAGCAGTACGGCACATTGTGCCGACAAAGTAGCGTGTCAGTTATCCGAAGCAGTTAAGACTGGAGACGCAACCACACGCACACGCATGCACGTGCACACACATACATACACACACACACACACAAGCACGCGCACGAACGCACACGAACGCACGCACACACACACACAAACACACACACACACACACTACTGCTACTACTACTACTACTATGTACAACTGCCACAAAATGGCCATGTCGCTCCCAGAAGCGGGAGACAGCAGCGAGAAAGGAAAAGAAACACACACACACACACACACACACACACACACACACACACACGCGCACACACACACACACGCACACACACACACACACGCACACACCATTTGCTGTCAGGTTTAGTGTGATGCGTGTGTTTTTCTGGTTGTGTTTGACATCACAGGGGTCTTCACCAGGAGGCCAGCAGAATACGCCGTAACCAGTCACCAGATCCGCAGGACTTCAGTGAAGTGTGCATGGCGTGTGGACGAGTGCGTCACTGTGGGCTAGTGGCACCGCTGTTTGGAAGGAAATGTGTAAGTGTGTCGCTGTGGTGTATTGGCCATCAGGATGTTTTGCTTCCCTTGTTACACTGGACAGTTTTAAAAGAGTAGAGCCCACACGCTCTCTTCCAGTAAAAAAAATTAACACTGCAATAATTAAATAATCGACGCGGAGACAACAATTTTATAATAGCTATAAAGAGAACAAATTCTGCTGTCATCGCCACACTACAACTGGTAAACCTTCATGACTTTGTTGTAGTGTGGCGATGACAGGAGAATTTGTTCTCTTTATAGCTATTACTGCAATAATTCAACTCCTTTCACAATACAGTAAAACCTGTGATGGCGACCACTCGACCATGGCAACCACTCGACCATGGCGACCACTCGACCATGGCAACCACTCGGATATGGCGACCACTCGACCATGGCGACCACTCGACCATGGCGACCACTCGACCATGGCGACCACTCGACCATGGCGACCACTCGACCATGGCGACCACTCGACCATGGCGACCACTCGGATATGGCGACCACTCGACCATGGCGACCACTTTTCCTTGTCACGGACGCATTCACAATCACACATTCAGAACCGCTCGGATAAGGCGACCAGCTCAACGCGACCGACGACCACCCACCCGCGACCGCGTTGCACAGTGCTAGTAGATGTAAATGTACGTAGATCTACGCATTGCATGGTGCACCATGCATGTTAGATCTACACATCAGTGCAGGAAGTGTAGATGTACATGGTGCATGCACGACACTTGACAGGTCTGAGGACCCCAGGCACATGAGTCGTGCTAGAGACTAGAGTAGCATTGGTGTGTGGACTGTGATGGTGGATACACTGATCAAGATGATGTATCACATGTGGATATGGTCACGTGACCCACTGAACCTGGATAAGAAGACCACCTGGCCACCGCGACCACTTTTTCTCGTCCCTTGAGGGGTCGCCGTAGACAGGTTTCTCTGTATTACTTTCGGGGGGGGGGGGGGGGGGGGGACGTTGTAATATTGTAATATTGTGAAATGAGTTGAATTACTGCAGTGTTAAAGGGGAAGTCCGGTGAAATATTTAAATTTCACAGTCCGTAGAGTTCGGGGCGCTGAGTCGAATGGTCTTTGTCCGAGGAGGCTGCGGCCTATGGTTCGTCAGATACGCCCAATCGAACATGTGCGAATTTGAGCGCCTCACCCAGATCCAGGTGATGACGTCACAGCGTGCAGCCCGGTAGCCACACCATCTAGATGTGTACAAAACGGCCATATTCGGAGCGCGTTCGATTGGGGAACCGTTTGTCGCAGCTTCTTCGGACCAAGACCATTCGATTCAGTGTTACAAACAATACGTACCCTGTGATTTTCAGCTCGGTAAACCGCGAGGTTATACCGCATTTTAGCCGTTTCCGAGTTGGACTTTTTCCGTCGGCATGCACTGGCCTCTACAAGACTACGGCTCTAGCAATGCGCTGCGTGCATGCTAGCTGTAGTGTAGTCAACAAACTCATCACACACGGAACTAGTACTCCCACACTGCCGTGCTGGGGTAGGTACAACAAGACTCGAGTCACAAGACTCAGAAAACTAGTCAACACACGGACTTGTCATGCACATGTACTACACTCGTATCAGTCGTATTGTAGAGTAGACGGTTCTATACCGGGACGCTTTGACCGCCAAATTTGTATAGACCCAAACCGATCATCAGCGTTGATTTTTCACTCGAAATATGTTTGTGGAAGGAAACTGGAATGTTGAAGTTTGCTCTGGGGCCAGAGTCAATCGAACTGAGCCACTCCTTTGTGTTGACCCATTGCCTCCAAGTTGCCCAATCTTTCGCTTCAAAAAAGTTGAAATCAGAGGTGGCTCCAAACCGGACACGTTTTAGAGTGCACATGAAATTCACTCTGGGTCTGAAATTAGGTAATTGCTATCGCTCCACGATGGCCAGTACAGAGTAACAATAAGCCTTGTGTGTGCTTCCATTAGTTTTGATTGGTATGCGGTGCTTTATTGGCGAGAGGCGAGCTGCTGTTTACCTGCGACAAGAAGTTGATTTTTCGAAAGTCGTAAAACTCAAGTCGCAGAGCGAAGCAACACGTCTAAATCTCACCTGCTTGGTATGGCGCTTCTGGTCATCGCAGAGCCATGAAATTTTGGCTCGGAGTATAACACATCGTAGTCTCACTGTGACATATGTTTTCTAATCAAAATACCAAGAGAGAAAGTGAATATTGAGTCCGTTCCGGTTTGCAACCTGTGTCCTATTTGAAACCGTCGCCTCTACAGTCATGTAGTCTGAGAACGAGTGTTTCTCCTTGCCCGTGCCGATGGTTGTGCTTTGAGAAAGAAAATTTTAGTTTTCCGCTCCCGCCTCTTTATTTTATGCTACAGCGATGAGTGCACAACCGTGACAAGTGACGAAACAGCGAACAGCTCCCGGACCTAGAACTTTCAGATCCCATAGCGTTGCGAGCGAAGAGTCGTGCCCGTGGTTCAAAGAGCCTGCACAGTAGTCCGAAATATGCCAAGTTCACACCAAAACATCACCATGTGGCAGGCTACTGGAGTCTAAGCGAATCGGTATGGAACAACATTTAGAGCTCTCGCATCACTCTTCTCCATTTTGGCGACTCTGCTCTCCAGCGATCTGATAATTATATCAGCCTCGTCTGCAATAGCTGCTGCTTCTTCATCAGTCCGACACTCAGTAGCGCTCACTCTTGACCGGCCCGCGCGGCCATTTCTTCAGCTGAATACCGAGGTTCTCAGCCCCAGACCGAACTCATGAAGGTCAGCCATGGCTGCATCCTCACTCTCACAAGGAGTTACGTCTTCGGAGTCGCTTGCACCACCTACTATAATTTGAAATAGCATTATAGCACTGACACTATTGCTTTCACGCACTCCTTTTGACCTAGCTGCACGCTATGACGTTGCGGAGGGTGTGGCGCGGCCGCATGTCGTCATGGCGCAGGCCCCGAAACTCAGTTTTTCAAACGGAAATATCTCGAGAACGCTTTGTCGGAGACACGTGGGACCAACACCATTCGTCTCAGCGGCCGAAACTCTACCGACCCTGAAATTTAAATTTTTCACCGGACTTCCCCTTTAATACTGAGTTTGATTGATCTGGATAATTCTGCTGTTACGGCTGCTACTGGAGGTGATGCCAGTACTTCTGCTGGTGATTTGAAACATGTTTTATTGACAGCCCAAGCCAGTACAGTTGAGCATCGATTATCCGACCACCTCTGGACAGCGGACCCTGGGAAGGCGTTTGGCTATTGAAAACGTTCCAGATAAGGAAAATCCCCCATGCGTCCGGTATATCACAGTACAAGCAACAACAGTTGTTTTCATGTTAGTTTTTGTAAGTTTTGTAAGTTTTGTAAGTTTTTTACTGTACAGGCTGTACACACTGGTACAGACGGCGAGTGCGCGCTGCAGCAACTAACAAGCTCCCGTACGAATATGCGTGGCCTGAGCCATGCGTGGTTCGAAAACCCGTTCCGGAAAATCGAATGGTCGGATAATCGAATGGTCGGATAATCGATGTTCGGATAATCGATGTTCGGATAATCGATGTTCGGATAATCGATGTTCGGGTAATCGATACTCAACTGTATATGAATGGAGGCAGAGAAAAGGATGGAAAAGAGAACAGTAAAACTGATGAAAATATGAGACTTGCACGTGCAACGTTGATAGAAGAGAAAAATGAGAGAAAACACAAGATCAGAAAACAAAACCCAAGGAAATGACTCTAAACCCAGAAAGGAACATATTCTATTTACACGCCTTCCCAGAAGGGAAACGGCTGAACCTCACAAACATACAAACTAATAAAAATCGAGCTACTCAGGATGTCTAAAAACACACTGTGATCAACATTATCACTGCAGTTACAGTGCGAGATGGTAATAGGCTACTACCCGGTAATAGGCTAATAGGTAAACTATGCCCTACAGAGCACATGGCTGTGTTTTGCAAAGCCCGAGACCTGCAAACACAGGACTGTGTGTTGTTGTTGTGTGTGTGTGTGTGTGTGTGTGTGTGCGTGCGTGCGCGTGCGTGTGTGTGCATGGTCAATTCTTCAGCCTTGCAAGCTGTTGAATGGTGCAATCCCAGCACAAGTTGCTATGGCTTCTGCTGTAGCATTGCTATCATCGCCTCCGGCGATGGGCGTCAAAAGGTCAAAAAGGTGTGTGCATGTGTATTCTGTATGGTGTTGTGTGTGTGTGTGTGTGTGTGTGTGTGTGTGTGTGTGTGTGTGTGTGTGTGTGTGTGTATGTGCAGTTGTGGGTATGTGAAGCTGATCAATACGAGCGCCTACGGCAGCTGTACAGTGGTGGATGGTATCACCAGCACGACTGCGGGTATGATCTGCACGTCACTACCAACATGTTACAAACCTTCACGAAGGTAAGACCAGCCAGCAAGTCATAATGTTACTACCGCAGCTCTCAGCGAATGTACCATAGTCACACAGTACGCATGCTGCCACATGGACATGTATGGGTTACACCATGAGTATGACGGGTATAATAACGAGAGAGCTTGAAAGCTCAGGGCCCTACGCTATGCTTTCTCGCCTAGGTCATCATGCATGTTATTCGAACTGATGGAAGAATTTTTGCAATACAATGATGTAGCCGATGATTTTATTGCAAAATGGTTTCAATCAGTTTGAATAACATTCTATCAGTCTGCTCGACAAACTCCCGGGCACCTGATCTAATCAGGACATAAACTCTCGATGGAAGCAAACATCTGGCCTACTGAACGCTCTAGCGAAAAAAATCATCAGTCACTCTTTTTTCTTTTTTTCTAGCTCTTTATATGTGTTTTTTTGCATTCTGTTTGCTGTCTCACTCATGGAATTATCTTCCCGGTGGGACTGGCTTATCGCCTTCGAAGAGAGTGAACAAAGGAGATAATATGAAATTAGAGGCCAAATGCCTCGTACTGCTCTTTTCTCTCCGAAACTGAACACTTGCAAGCCAGATACGAAAGAAAGAATTGCTTGATTGGTGTGAGTTGCCGTATGATGCAAGCCAGATATTGATTGATCGAAGAAGGATAGATTTGCCATCACTGTGGATAAGAGTCATACTGTAGCTCAGTTGGTTAGAGCATTGCTTGCGAATAGCAAGGTCCCTGGGTCGAGTCCTGGTGGTGTACGAAGCATGTGGCCTCTAATTTCCTAATACTTTGAAATTCTCCGTGAAGTCCAAATTTGAAATTGCAAAAGGAGATAAAAATAGTTCTAAGTACTCGGGTGGTGAGCCAAGGAAAATATTTTATGGAAACAAGGAAAACGGTGGGGTACAAGTTATGCGTTAGAGTCCATCAACTAAACCAGATTTTGAACAGTCAGACGTTCACAAGGTAGCACCAGACTGACAAGGATTGCTGAGACATTTAACGGCAAGGAATGCTCACGCCTGTTGCTTTGTTCTATGTTCTATGTTGTTATGTACAGTTGCGACACGTCGGCTTATCCAAGGATCTGGAATTTGTAAGGTCTACAATCACGTCATTGAATAGAATTTTTATTGCAGGAAAAAAACAACACATGCAGCACAGAAGCAATACCGAAAATAGTTTTGACTCTTGACTAGGCCTTTCATACCAAGTCACCACAGTATTCTACTTTAAGAGTGGTATGGTAAGAGAATGGTACGAAAGGCCTGGTGGTCAAAACTGTGTTATGGTTTTCGTGCTGCGTGTGCACCTAGATCACAGATGGAGGTGCGGTATTAGGGAGGTTCCGGAGTACGATTTTTCGTGCCAAAATCCGTAAAGGCGCTATGGATTTTTATACGTCGTTTTCGAGCAGTGAAATGTTCCGGAGCACGGAACTTATGTGTTTGCCGTCATTGCCTAGGTTACGATCGCAAACACGTCACATTCCCGCGCTATGCCTTTTTATTTTGAAAATTTGTACCGAAATCAAAACTTCCCGCGGAAAATCCATGTTTCTCGTACCAAATTTGTACGCGAAAAATCTTTCTGCACCCGATGACGCAAAATCTCCATACGAAACATGGTTCGTGTGAAAGCCAGTCCACACG